AGGTGATAAAGGTGGTAAAGGGAGGTGATAAAGGTGGTAAAGGGAGGTGACAAAGGGTACAGCAAAGGAACTGTTCAAAACAGATACAAAAATCAGGAGGGTTAGAAAATGGGAGAAGAGTGAGAAACTGTCGATTACTTTTTACAACAATTAATTTGTTACTTCTATAAATAAAATCTTTTACTGCACTATTTTTAATATGCTAAAACGGAATCTGAAGTTAGAAATTAACACATCACGTAAGAGACTGGCAACACATGTGATTCTATGTTACTTGTATAAACTCTAACTCACGCATACACATGAATCTTACACATAATGCTTGCATGTCAACAAGAGTCGGAGAGCCTCGGTTGTGCTCTGGCAATTAAGTGTTCAGATATATTTACAAAAGATTACTATTTATTGAGTATCGTGGTGCTTATTTTGCTTAAATTGCATTTTTCTGCTACATATATCCTATTTACATTTTATTTTTTGCTCTGTCATATGATATCGCCATTTCAGATTAACACGAACAAACGAAGATACGCCTTAATAGTGCAAATAGCTTACTATGAGTGTGGCAAATATACACCATGTGATTAACGAAACAACTTAACAAATTGTCTAGTTTGCACAGAAGCACTGCTTTGGATGCAATATATCAAGATAAAAGATTGTCTCGACATATATGCTGTACTGTTTGTATCTCTGGACTGACACAGTGGTTGAAAAGGAATGTACATCCGAGTCATTTGCCGTCACAGTGGTTTTAGCGAGAAACGAAGAAACATGAATGACTGGTACGTTTTTATGGTTTGTTAAAGAAAAACAATAATAAGATAACATATTTATACTGCAAGCCAGCATTAAACCTGTGCCACAGAGAGAGGATACTCCTATACTTGTTCCACTTGTTACTTATGACACTGAAGCCGAGACTTTGAAACTACCTTATTTAATCACTCTACAAGCGTTAAATGACTTTGTTAGGGATCTGGACCTATCAAAACAGAAGGCAGAACAGCTCGAAACGTTTCAAGAAGAAAAATCTCATTTCCGTGAATGCAAAACTAGTTTGGAGGTATTCTATTCAGTGTATAATGGTTTGTGTTTCTGCGCTGATATAAATTATTTTATGACTGAACTGAGCTATGAACACATTTCTGGTGAAGGGAGACTATTTATTGATTCCAATTAGGTTAATCTAGAAGCAGTGCTCCTTCTCAACGGCAATAAAAAGATCATTCTGCGGGATTAAAGAAAACATATGAGTCCACGGAAATTCTACTCTATCAGAATACGATGACCACAAATGTAATATATGTATGGACACAAAAGTGTTAGAGTTAATACTTGGTCTTAAACGTGGTTACGCAAAACCAGTATGCTTACTTTGTGGAATAGTCGTGACGCTGCTAGCCGCTACATGATCAAAGAATAGCAGGCCAGAAAAGACCATATTCCAGGAAAATTCAACATACAACATATGCCACTGATGCATCCTGAAAAGACATTTCTTCCACCACTGCATATAAATGGAAAATTTGTAAAGGCTTTGGATGGTGAAGGAGTTCTGGCTGACGCAAACTTAAGGCCGGAGTATTTCTTGGACCACAAATACGTGGACTGTTATCAGACTCAGTCTTATCAAATCTAACCCCAATATTGCTGGATACGTGAGAAGCTTTCAAACAGGTTGTCCAGAACTTCCAAGGAAGGCACAGAGCAGACAATTACGCCAAGTTAATGTAAAACATGAGAGAAGCCTATAACCATTTGCTTGCCGTATATCATAGAAATGCACTTTCTTCAATCATACCTGGACGTCTTTTCATCCAATCTTGGTGATGTTAGTAATAAGAATGGTGAAAGATTTCATCAGGATATCAGTACAATGGAGGTACGCTATCAGGGGGGCTTCATTCCTAACATGTTGAAGGACTACCGTTGGTTTCTTCAGAGACGACACAGTTATTAATAAGCATGAAGTCAAATGCTTAAAACATTTTTGAAAGATTTTGTACTTCCAGTGAGACTATGTTGCTTATTTTCCTTGAATCAACTATTTTATAAAAGAGAATAAGATTCAATGACTTATTCTATTATCTATGCTGTAAATATTGATAGAACATTATTTTTATAAAAGAAATCTTGAAATGATACGTTTTTCAAACATCAAACGTCCAGACACGGTAGCTTACTTTTAATGTTGAATTTGGAATCGGAACGCTCATATACACAACACCTATATTTTTTCAGTAAGAGACCAAATATATTTCTTTGTTGTCTAGTGTTATTCACGGACCGAAGGGAGGACTCATAAATTTTGACGACTAAGGTATTCAGTCTATCATCAGACTAACAGGTTGAGAAGGTATTCGAGAGGGAAAAATTAGTTCAGTCAAATTAACCCTCTCAACAGTAATGAGACGAGACTGGATTATGCGCTGGAAACCACGGTTAAGGTAGAGAGAAAAATACCACCGGGTGTACCTCGACTGGGACAAAACAAGAATGGAGTGTGAAGAACTGAGAGAGAAAGTAGAAAGACACCAGAGGCAGGAGTAGAGACAGGGAGCTCAGCCTCTTAAGGAATGCCAGGTACACCCACACATAAAAGCCTTCTCAGGCCCTAGATCCCTCACCCATACAAAACAAGCCATATCCAACCCTCTTAACACACCCATAGCCATCCTCACAACTGTCATACACCCGAAACTGCAGACCCTATATCCCCCTTCACCCCATCATCAGTATTCATCCCATGTGCATCCAGGATCCTGACCCCTTACAGGGCAAAAAAAAAAAAAACCCACCTCCTCAACCTTACCCCAACCCACATAAACCCCATCCACCCGATAACTAAATTTCATACCCAGAAGCAATAGAAAAAAATGAGAAGCTCAGAGTGTATGAGGCAAAAGACGAATGTGTTAGACCATGGATAAAGTAAAGAAGAGAAAAAAAAAATCAGATAAAAGAGGAGCTGAGCAGAAGAGCCAGAAATGAACATGCATCAATGGTAGCTCGACAGTAATATGAGAATAACAAAGCACAGAAAGCCAAATCTGACCCAATGTTCTTATATGGTCACATCAGGAAAGAAACAGCAGTCAGGGACAAGGTAATCAGACAGAAGAAAGTGTGGAGTTCACAAAGAATGACTAGAAAGTCTGTGAGGAGCTCAGCAAGAAATTTAGGGGAATATTCTCATAGGAGACAGAGAGGCTACCAGCTATCCGAAGCGTTGGACACAACATAAGCAACTCGGAAGGAAGTGAAGAATCTGCTAGGTGAGCTAGATACCTCGAAGGAGGTGGGACCAATATCTCTTCATGGGTCCTGAGCCGAGACACTGTGCGTGCCGCTTGCAACAATCTCCAAGTCTATCAACACAGGGCAACTGCTGGAGGTGTGGAAGACAGCAAATGTAGTCCAAGTTTTAAAAAAAAGGAGACAGATGGGTAGCGTTTAAGCTACAGACCAGAATCACTGACATGTAGAATATGTAAAATTATGGAGAAAAGTATCGGGAGACGAGTGGTGGGGCCCCTAGAAAGAAGTTAGTTCATTCATGACAACCAACACGGCTTCAGCGTTAGAAAATCCTCGGTCATAAAACTACTAAAATTCTAGGACATGCAAACAGAATTAAAACAGGAGAGAGAGGGATGGGTAGATTGCATTTTCTTGGCCTTTATGAAGGCTTTCAACACAGTAAAGCTATAGGAAAAGGCGAGACTAACAGGAAAAGCACTGCACTGGATCAAAACATATATAACAGAAAGGAAACAACGAGCAGTGACCCGTGATAAAGTGTCGGAATGGGCGCATATGATGAGTGGGGATCCACATGGATGAAGGATAGGGCCGGTGCTGTTTTTTGTATACATGAATGAGATGACAGAAATGATAGAGGCAGAGGTATTCCTGTTCACAGACTGCTTGAAACTAATGAAGAGAATGCAAACGGACGATGACCAGGAAAGGCTATAAATGGATCTCGACAAACTGCAGGTCTGGTTTGACAAATGGCTCCTCGAGTTTAGCCCCACCAAGTGCCACGTTATGAAGCTTGGGGAAGGACAAAGAAAACCGCAGACGTAGTAAAGGCTCAAAGGGTCAAAGTTGAAAATCTCACAAATAATAATGGACCTTGGAGTGTGTATTATACTGAGCATATCCCTGGTGGCGCACATATTCCAAATAACTGCTGCAGCATATGCGCATCTGGAATATGCAAAAATAGCTTTTAAGCATCTACGTAAAGAGTCATTTACGACAGTACACCGTGTATTTCAGGCCCATTTGGGAATGTGTGCCACTATTATAGAACCCTCACCTACTCAAACCTAACAAGAAATTGAAAAAAGAGCAGACGTTTGTAACAAACGTAGTCCCGGGTTTAAAGGGGAATGTCCTATGAGGAGAGGTTAATGGAACTCGTACTGATGACACTGGAAGACAGGACGACTAGGAGATATATGATAACCACTTAGAACATGATAAAGGAATTGATTAGGTGAACAGGAACAGAATGTTTCAGAGATGGGAAACAGAAACACGAGGACACAGCTGGAGGCTGAGAACTCAGATGAGACATATGGAAGTTAGAAAGTATTTTTTCAGCCTTAGAGTTGTCAGGAAGTGGAACAATCCGGAAAAGGTACAACAAGGCTCTAGCAACTAGGAGAGAGAGTGGACCTAGTAGCAACCAGGGAAGAAATGGAAATAGGAGCTGTGACTCGACCCCTGCAACCACATATAGGTGAATACATATAGGTGAGTACATATAGGTGAGTACACACACACACACACACACACACACACACACACACAATCCACACACAGACATTGAGACACATACACAGATGGAAAAACAAACATGCACACACACCCACCCACACAGCTGGCTAGCATTGCAATACAGGAACTTGGATAACAATCTTGTACGTTATGTGAAACATAACTAAGCATGTCACACGGACACTTCTTTTCCCAGGACTCTGACTAACCTTGTGGTGGAGTTCATAATCAAGGGAGGCGGCGAGGGTGATGGCGCCTGAGTGCTGGTCAATGGTAAAGAGTCCATCTTTGTTGCCACCTGTAATGCTGTAAAGCACCTCCTTTCCTGCAACAAAACACACACTGTAGAATAAAAGAAACAATTCCCAAGCTGGAAAATTTCTTAAGGATCCAATAATATTGAAATAAAAACTTTTGACAATGGTTTAGTCCATGCTTGACCTTTTTCAAGGGACAAATATCTCTATGACGGATCATAATGTTTTAATTTTTCTTCTTAAATTGTGGGATATTTATGACGAATACAGCAAAGCAAATTCAACTCCCCCCCCACCCACCACCCACAAATGCACAAGCACGCACGCACAGAAAATGTATTCCCAATTTATAAGGAGACAGACACGCAGCACTAAACTACAGACCAGTATCACTAACATGTATAGTACGCAGAGTCATGGAGAAGATTATCAGAAGAGTGGTGGAACACCTATAATGGATTGAGCTTATTCACGACAACATGCACGTTTCAGGGAATGGAAATCCTGTGTCATAAACCTACTGGAGTTCTATGACAAAGTGACAGCAGTGAGACAAGCGAGAGAGGGGTAGGTAGATTGCGTTTCCTTGGATTGTTATAAGGCTTTTGATACAGTTCCACACAAGAGATTAGTGTAAAAGTTGGAGCAATAGGCAAGTATAACAGGGAAGGCACGGCAATGGATCAGAGAACACCTTGTTAGGAAAGCAAGAGCGAGTCATGGTACGCGACAAGACTGGGCACCTGTAACGAACAGGGTTCCACAAGGGTCAGTCCTAGGACCTGTGCTGTTTCTCGTGTATGTGAATGATACGATGGATGGGATAGATTCAGAAGTGTCCCTGTTTGCAGACGATGTTGAAGTTAATGAGGAGAATTAAGTCATATGTGGACCAGCAGGACTTCAAAGGAGACCGGACAGCTGGACACTAATTCCCAGCAAACCGTCTGTCTGAATTCAAACCCTGCCAATATGCAAAAGTCATGAACATATGAGAAGGGCAAAAGAAACTGCAGACAGAGTAAGACTAGGTGTCAAGACTGAAAACCTCGCTCAAGGAGAAAGTAGTTGAGTGGTGACCATAACACCGAGCATGTTCTCCCGTGAGGCACATAATACGGGAGCCTGGCAAAACCTGAGAATAGCGTTCCGATACCTTTGTAATGGAATCGTTCAAGACACGTACACGTGTGTACATCAAGGCCATACTGGATAATGCAGCTCAAGTTTGGAACGACACCTATCAAACACGTCAAGAAATTAGAGAAAGTGCAAAGGTTTGCAACAAGGCAGTTCATTAGCTCAGGGGTATTTCACGAAAAAGGTTTGGAGGAAAATCGGAGCTGAACGACATTGGAGGACAGGCGGGTCAGAGACATGATAAACGACATAACAAATACTTCGTGGATAGATAAGGTAGACAGAGACAGGTTGTTCCACAGAGGGGACACGGAACAAAGAGATCAAAATTGTAGCTGAAGACTCGACGAGTCAGAGGATGTTACAGTATTTCTTCAGTCATAGAGTCGTCAGGAGTGAATAGCCTAACAAGTGATGTAGTTGAGGCAGAACCGATACATAGCTTTAAGACGGAGGTATGACACGCTCTGGAAGCCAAAGAGATTGAGGACCTAGTAGCAGGATCAATGAAGAGGCGGGCCAGAGCTGTGCTCGAACCCCTGCAACACACAATTAGGTTGAGTACAATTAAGTAGTGTCACACACACACACACACATCACACACACACACACACACACACACACACACACACACACACACCAGCACACAAACCATACACAAACAACACTGATACTGACCCCAGGAAATATGTTGAAACACTATCAGGCTGGGTAAGATTGACTTCTCCCTGTTTGTAATTAATGAGTCCGATCGTTTATCTCTTTATACTTGAGAACTAGAGTGAAAACAATGTATTTTATCTCTCATCTTGAGTCTTTCTCGAGTGAAAAAATTTTCTCATTACTTAAAACCTTTTAAGACGTCATGGTAACGGTAGTGAAGAGCAGTGTCAAGAGGGCACATTTATACACTAACTGTCTAACTGAATTGCGCCCTAATGACCTCTCTGTAGTTAAATAGCATAACACTTAACAGACGTAACTTGCTACACTGAGTGGAGTACATTTCTCATTTCTGTACATGTGTATTACTTATTCAAGATAATATATAAATATATATATATATTATATATATATATATATATATATATATATATATATATATATATATATATATTCATAATTGATATATTGTACCTCCTATGTATCAGTTTTGTGTTTTCTGTCAATGATTTCTGGATCTGAAGTCTGTGTCTCTTCTCTCATCTCTCTCTCTATAAATATATATATATATATGGTATAGTATATAAAAATATATATATATATATAAAAAGACAGCAACCACCCAGAATACTACCGTCCTGCCAGATGACTGTGGAAACAAAAACCTGTAATTGTTTTTGCATGATTGTAGGATTGCTGGTTTCTTTTTCTGTCTCATAAACACTCTAAGATAACAGGGATATCTTGCTACTCCTACATACACTTTGTCACACTTCACAGACACGCACATGCATATAAATATTACAAACATCTATGTTTTTCTCCTTTTCTAAATAGCTCTCGTTCTTTTATTTCCTTCTATTGTCCCATGGAAGTGGAAAAGAATCCTTTCCCTCCTAAGCCATGCGTGTCGTATGAGGGCTGACTAAAATGCCGGAGCAATATGGCTAGTAACCCCTTCTCCTGTTATACAATTACTAAAAAGAGAAGAAGAAAACCTTATAAAACTGGGTTCTTAAATGTGTCGTGGATGTAGTGCGGATGACAAGTAAACAGATGATTGCTGATGTTATGTAATGAAAAGAAAGTTGGATGCCTGGGCCCTAAGCGAAACAAAGCTGAAGGGGGTAGGAGAGTTTCAGTGGGGGAAATAAATGAGGATTAATCTGAGTAATCTGAGAGAGGTTAGAGCAAATTAAGGGGTAGCAGTAAATGGTTAACTGATCATTATGGAAGGAGTAAAGAGAATATGAATTGTAAATTCAAGAATTATGTGAATTAAAGTAGAAGGTTGGAGATGCGAGAAGTGGGTCATAATAAGCGTGTATGCACCTGAGATGAGATGAATGCAAGGAGAGAGAGAGATTTTGGGAGATGTTAAGTGAATGTAATAGGAGCCTTTGAACCAAGTTGAGAGAGAAATTGTGGTAGGGGACTGACTGCAAAAGTAGGAGAAACTTTTAGAGAGGGTGTTGATAGGTAAGTTTGGGGTGCCAGTGTAAATGATAATGGGATCCCTTTGAATTGAACTTTGTATAGAAAGGGGTTTAGGTTATAGGTAATACATATTTTAGAAAAGAGGATAAATAGATTAACACTATATGATGTAAGGGCGAAAATGCGAGTCGTTTGTGGATTTTGTATTGGTTAGATAAAAGGACTGTTGAGTAGATCTTCAGAAGGTACATGTTTATAGAAGGGGCCACAGATATATCAGATCACTTTCTAGTTGTAGCTACACTGAGAAGTAAAAGTAGATGGGATACAAGAGAATAGAAGCATCAGGGAAAGAGAGAGGTGAAGGTTTATAACAAAAAGATGGAGCAGTTTAGGGTAAGATATAAACAGCTATTGGAGGATAGATGGCTAATGAGAGCATAGGCAATGGGGTCGAGAAGTATGGGTAGGTTTAAAATGTAGTGTTAGAGTGTTCAGCAGAAGTTTGTGTTACAGGAAATGGGTGCAGGAGTGAAGAGGAGCGTTGTGAAATGATTAAGTAAAGAGGTGTAAGAAGAAAAAGTTAGCATATAGAAGTTTTTACAAAGTAGAGAGTGTTCAAGGAGGGAAGAGTATATGGAGAAAAGAGAGAGGTTAATAGAGTGGTAAGCAATGTATAAAGAGAGCAAAATGAGAGAGTGGGTGAGATGTTATCAACAAATTTTGTTGAAAATAAGAAAAATTTTGGGTGAGATTAACAAAGTATTAAGAAAGCCTAGAGAAAAAATGGATTTGTCAGTAAAAAATAGGAGAGGAAGTATAGAATGGAGAGTTAGAGGAATTGGGAAGATGGAAGGAAATATTTTGAGGAATTGTTAAATATTGATGATGTTAGAGAAGCTGTGAATCGTGTAATAGGCCAAGGAGGAATAACATCTTGAAGGAGTGAGGAAGAGCCAGTTTGGTGAGTTGGGGGAAGTTTCGTGAGGCAGTAGGTAAAATGAAAGGGTGTAATGCAGCCGGATTTGATGGGATAAAGATAGAAATTTAAAAGCAGTGGGGATATAGTTTTGGAGTGGTTGGTGCAATTATTTAATTAATGTAATGGAAGAGGGTAAGGTAACTAGGGATTGGTCGAGTAGCATGCTAGTTTCCTTTGTATAAAGTCAAAGGGATAAAAGAGAGGCAAAAATTAAGGGGAAGTCTGTTGAGTGTACCTGGTAAAGTGTTGGTGAAGATATAATTGAAAGAATTAAGAGGTAAGACGAGAATAGGATACAGATGAACAAGAGTGCTTTAGAAAGGTAGGGGGTGTGTGGACCAGGTGTACAGTGAAACATATAAGTGAACATAGTTAGATAAGCTAAAGATGTCTTGTGCATTTATGGATTTGGAAAAGGTATGACAAGGGTGGATAGGGGGCGAATGTGGCAGATGTTGGTTGGTTTGAGGCAGATGTTGCAAGTGTATGGTGTAGGAGGTAGTTTTAACTGAAAGCATGAAGAGTTTTACGTGGATAGTGAGGCTCAAGTAGATATGTAGGAAGAGGGAAATTTTTCCCATAAAAGTAGCCCTTAGACAAGGATGTAGTGATGTCACCGTGGTTGTTTAATATATTATAGATGGGGTTGTAAGAGAAAAAGTAAATGCAGGTCTTGGCAAGAGGCGTGGAGTTAAAAGATAAAGAAGTCACACAAAAGGGAGTTTCACAGCTGCTCTTTCTGATGACCTCAGTGCTCTTGGGAGATTCTTAAGAGAAGGACTAATAGGTGGATGAATTTGGTAGGTGTGCAAAAGAAGAAAATTAAAGGTGAATACAGGAACGAGTAAGGAGATGAGGATAACAAAAAGATAATTAGGTGATGAAAGATTGAATATCAGATGGAGGGAGAGAGTATGAGGAGGTGAACGTATTCAGATATTTGGGAGTGGACGTGTCAGCGATGGGTCTATGAAAGATGAGGTGAATCAAGAATGATTAGGAGAAAAGAGTGAGTGTGCACTTAGGAGTCGTGGAACAAGAACTTGTCCTTGGAGGAAAAGACAGGGGAAATGTATGAGAATTATAGTTTTACCAACGCTCATATATGGGTGTGAAGCGTGGGTGATTAATGTTGCAGCGAGGAGAAGCTGAGGCAGTGGAGAAATGTCCATGTCTGAGGCAATGTGTGGGTGTGAATATAATCAGAGAATTTCGTAGTTTGGAAGTTTAGGTATGAGGTGCGGATTACCAAAACTGTTGTCCATAGGGCTGAGGAAAGGTTGTTGAGGTGGTTCGACATCAAGAGAAGGACGAAACAGAATGACCCTTCAAGAGTGTATCAGTCCGTAGGGAAGAGAAGGCGGGGTAGGGGGTCGGCCAAGGAAAGGGTTGGAGGGAGGGTAAAGAGGTTTTGTGTGCGAGGGGCTTGGACTTCCAGCAGCTATGGCTTGAGCGTGTTTGATAGGAGTGGAATGGAGACAAAATGGTTTTTAAATTAC